TGGTTTGTTACCTCTCCGTCACCGAAACCCGTTGGTCCAGTGGCAATATGCGCTTGCGTCATATCTTAACGGTCCGGTCTCGAAACTCGGTAGTGTTGAGTCCCCCAAAAAGGACGGTCCAGTGAATTCTGCATGCTGTTGAGAATTTTGTAGACTTGATGAATTAGTTATGATTATTGGATTCCTCCCCTATATATATATATATATATATATATATATATATATATATATATATATATACTAGCAGTAAAATTTGGGCGTTGCCCGGGAATGTAACAGTAAGAGATAGATCAAGTATCGACCATCATAAAGACTGAAAAAAGTAAATTGACAAAGATTATTGTTTAAGGTTGACGGACACGCATGTCTTAATTAGTTTATTATTATTTTTTTTTTTTTACGAATTGGTCAAACCCAAACTCAAACAAAAACATTGTTTTCAATCGTTATGAGTCTAAGGATTGAATAGAATTTTATTACAAACAGTAGTCTTGTAAATGGAATTTTTAAAGCATTCTGAATGTAAAAATAAAGAAAAAAGTGTGCAAGACAATAAGAAACACTACCTGCCAAAAAAGTGAAGTTTTGTTGAAATCGGTTGAAAAATGTAGGAAATCCGCTCCCATATATAAACGAACACACACACACACACACACACAAACAACCTGGGTTGTGCAAAAACAATTGTTTGGTTGAAATCGGTTGAAAAATGTAGGAAATCCGATCCAATATATAAACGCACAGACACACAAACACACACACAATCTGCTTTTTATAATAAGTAAGATATATATATATATCACTGCTTGAACCAGCTTCTAATGCTCCGAATATGGCAGACTCTGATAGAAAATGTGACTGATGGGCGAATGGTCAGTTGGTATAAGAAAACACGAATGATTCTCACGACGGAATTTGTGAAGAGCTATATCTCTCATTCAAAAGGTTTTAAAACCTTTTAAATGAGGGTTCGGAAATTATGACGTGTTGTATACATACTAAAAAGTTCTTTTTCAGTTCATATGAAGTAGGAAGAAAAGAAGATATATATAATTCACTAAACCCCCCAACACCAACACATTTCCAATACACTCTGCCCCCTCCTTCTATTCCTCACATTATACCATTCTATATGGGGCAAATATAAAAACCCAATTCACTAAATCTTGGAAAAGATACTTAGATGATTGCTTCATCTTTTGGAAATCCTCATAGGGTGATATTAACCAATTCCATACACTGCTTCAAAACTTACACCCAAAAATCAAATTCGTCAAGAATATAATTTTAACGAATTACCATTTTTAGATATACTCATTAGAAATAAAAACAACCACATAATCACAGATATCTACCACAAACCCACAGACACCCAACAATATCTTCATTTCAAGAGGCATCACCCAAAAAGCTGCCTAAAACCATCCCCTCTTCCCTAGCACGTAGAATTTGTACATTAGTGACTGATAAACATCTCCGAAAAATCCGCTTAGAAGAACTACATAAAACTCTCAAAAAACGAGGCTACCCCACAACACTAATAAACAAAGGTTTTAAACTGGCGAAAGAAATAAAAAGAAACGTAACGTCGAACAAACTTTAGCATATGTCTCAACATACAACAAAAACAATCCAGAAATATTCACAGAAATTACAAAAAATCTAGACTTACTTAGCAAGAATAATAAACTGAATAATATACTAAAAACAACCGAAATAATTAAAAGCAAACGCCAATCTAAAAACCAAAACACATATTAACCTCATCTGAATTTAACAAACACAATACAGGGAGTAACAAAATGCAACAAAAAAGATGTGGGGTTTGTGACATCATTATAGAAGGAAATTCCTACACTTTTGAACCCCCACCAAAAAAAAAACATTCACAATAAATAAAAACTTAAACTTCAACTCCAAAAATGTAATTTATGTACTTAAATGCACAAAATGTAAGAAGTCATATATCGGCATCAGCCAACAACTGAACAACATGGTCTCCCTACACAAAAGCAATAAAAAATTGCCAGACGACAGAAAACATTTTGTATCACAACACCTTCAAATGTAACCAGGGTAAGTTTAATATCATGCCGATATATCAAACAGACGATTATTCGTACCTACAAATACAAGAAATAAACTATAAATAAATTTAAACCCGAGCTAAATAGGTCATAACCCCACACGCAAAAGCACGCAACATGCACATAAGGTGACCAAATACAGTGATCAAATCACTCACATACATGAACGCACGCTCACATGAATGCACAATCCATATGGGAGACACGAATATATATATATATATATATATATATATATATATATATATATATATATATATATATATATATACATATATATATATATATGTATATACGCATGTTGACAAAACAGGGAACTACTCATGAACACGCACACAAACACCACACAACTTAGGAAGTGCGTGTGTATGTATGTACGTATATGTGTGTATGTATGTTTGTATGTGTATATGTATACTGGTTCCATGTAGCTTGAGAAGTATATGTGTGTATGTGTATGTGTGTGTATGTATGTGTGTGTATGTACTGATTCTTTGTGGTGGGACGGTGTGTATGTGCGTATGTGTATAAATGAGTTTACTAATTTCTCGTAGTAAGACAGTATATGTATGGAGGGGTAATATACGCATATATACACGCATGCTGACAGAAACACACGAAAATGGAAACAGATCCAAGAACACACAGGGGTCAGTAAAACATTAAAAGATAAAATGCTGATAAGTAATTCATCATTTCGCTTGGACCAACCTTAATTGTTTTATGACCCTTCGCGCAGAACTCTTCATTGCCAATTCAAGAAAGAAATTCGGATTACCAACACACAAACAGAGAATGTCACATATCGAGAATATTTAACATTGAAGAGCATAAGGAAAAAATTAATTATTTTTAATAATATGTGGAAATCTCCGCTTTTACCTGAAGACGGTCGCGAGACCAGAAACACGTGTAGTAAAATTATGGAAAATAAATCATAATAGTTTTTTCTAAAAAATCCACATTACAACCAAAAAATATTTGCGGCACCTCTCTTCTTTTTTTATATATATATATATATATATATATATATATATATATATATATATATATATATATATATATATATATATATATATATATATATATATATATATATATATATAACTAATTATATAATTGGTATATACGGAATGAATTCCAATAACCAACAATTACTATTCTTAAAAGAATATTCCGTATATACCAATTATATACTTTGATATATATATATATATATATATATATATATATATATATATATATATATATATATATATATATATATATATATAATCAACTCATTCTCGTCCACTTCAAAACAAAAACAATTCCCAGATCTTTCCCAGACTACTGTTATTGCGTTATTCTCTTATGTATAATAAGTAAAGTCCTCAATTTTCATTCCGTTCTGCGTTTGTTGCCTGGTACTATTCAGTTGTCTGTTCTTGTTTATTTTGGGCTTTCTATCCAGCCTGCCTTTATTATTAGCTTCTAGCCAATCCTAAGATAGTTTTCACAATCCGTTCACCAATCCATGTTGATCGCTATGTTTCATTGTGCAAAAGAATGCTGAGAATAAAGACTTCAACAACTTGCTATCTAATATATCCAAATTATTCTCAAATATTCTTAAAATAAAAGACTATGAAATGAGTTCGATGAAAACCAGTCCCATGAAAAATATTGCCTTGTCAACAATCTAAAATAAATTGATAAACTGATCAAAGAAACAACAAAAAGATTTGTTTAACTCTACTTGATTATGTATAGGCAATTGACTCAGTAGAATACACGTCAATCTTTAAACCAGTAAAAGATCATATGTTTAAGAAAAAATATATAAATTATTCTACCCTACATGCTAACCACCAATTTGCCACTAGGTGACATGCTACTAGCGATTACAGCTGATGACCCGCTGTCGGACCGCCGGCGTGTTCGTCTCGGCAATGTTACCACTTGCGGACAGCTAGTGGCCCACCGGTGGTACGTCGGTGGATGCCACCGGTGGGCCGCTGGTGTGGCCATCGGTGGCATGCAAGCGAGCCACTAGCTGCTTCCGTGTAGGGTAAGAATATATATGATATTAATATTGTTATAATTCTACAATGCAAAGCCACCGATAAAATGAGTTTTCGATAAGGAGTTTTATCCCTGCTAATACTCCTTTTACTGCGTGTTTCTTTTCTTGTCCTAATTTCAATGTTTATCACCCAAACGTCGCTAGTGCTATTATATATTAACTAGTAGTATGACCTGTCTTTGAACGGGTGTTACATTACTGGGAATTTTTGCCATTCATTTGAAGCAGTTTAAATTTAAGGTCAGCCCACCCGAAAATCAATAGTAGTAACAACAATTGGGTGCAACTGAGGCACATCTCCAAATGGGTGGTGTTGACAATTTTAATTGTAGGAGTTTGAAAAAGGGCCGCTTTAGCGTCCTCAGTCTTCCAAAGAAGAAACCTCTTCTCTGGGCTGTCATAATTTTTATTCATATATATATATATATATATATATATATATATATATATATATATATATATATATATATATATATAATTCTAATAAGCTTTTGCGCTAGATTGCAAACCATCTGAACTGATTGTATGCTGTTTTTTTATAGACATTAAATTTTGCCTTTGATTTTTGCACAAATTGTTAAAAATGTTTTCTTTCGATTTTTCAACTTCAAGGTTATATTTTTTCCCTCCAAATGTTAGTGATATTTTTATATTCGAAATATATATATTGTACACATTTTCTTAATTAATTCACCCCAAGCAAGGCGACAAAAGCCACTAAGACAGAGGGAGCTATTAGGAGTGAAAGAGAATTAGAAGACTTTAGAAGGAACCGGGAACCCAATCCTAATTAAGGGGCGAATCTCCCCTCCTGTTCCCAAAACAGAGGAGTGTGAAATCGACGATAGGCGAACCTATCTGTCTGTCTGTCTATCTATCTATCTATCTATCTATCTATCTCTCATAATGTGTTCATATCTATCTATCTATATATCTATCTATCTGTTTATATTTTCTATTTAATCAATTCACCTAAAACAAGGCAATAATGCCACTAAGACACAAGGGGATACTGGGAGTGAAAGAGAAGACTTTAGACTGAACCGGAAACTCAATATTAAACCGGAAAAAAGGGATAAACTGTTACTCCTGTTCAAAAGACGGAAGTAGATGGTGAACACGACCATAGGCGGATCTATCTATCTATCTATCTATCTATCTATGATCCTATATCGAAGTAACATATAAATTTGTAAAATATTGATTCAATTATATTGATATAGTACTACAATTATTCAGTTAGAAACACTGTTACTTTTTTATTGTTATCTATCTATCTATCTATCTATCTATCTCCAGCTGTTCATATCTTCTTTTTAATCAAGTCACCCCAAGCAAAGCAAAGTGACGATACCAGTAAGTCACAATGGGCTACTGACAGTGAAAGAGAAGGAGAAGACTTTAGAAGTAATCGGAAACCCAATTCTAAACTGGAAACAAAGGATAAAAATCTATTTCTATTCAAAAGAACAAGGAGGAGGGTGAACCGGGCGTTAAACTAAACTGTTTATTCCTATATTCATTAGCCCCCCCCTTTTGCCTTTCCTTAAGAGCCATTTCTCTATATCTATGCCACCTGTTGAAGCACTTTTCAACTATTTTTTTTTCTTTTCTGACATCATCTTTCACTTTTTTCAAATTCATTTTCGTGTCTCACATTTGGTTGATTTGTTTATTTAATTCTGCATTTACAATGTGATCTCTTACTATTTATAAGCACATTCCACTGTTTTCTTTACTTTTGTTTTTTTTGTTTTTTTGTCATCAGTACTAATGTTAGTGTTGATTATTTCATCTTATCATTGATATTTCTCTCAGTTTTTTTCCTGTTATCTCTGCTATTTCCTTAATTATAGTTTCCAATTTACTACTCATATTTTCTATCTTATTTTCGTTATTCACACAGGTTGGAATCTATTCTTGTTCTCTATCTGAAATTAGGTGATGTTCTCTCTGACCTTATTAGAAAATGTTTACTTGCTGAGAATAATTTTGCTTGTGTCAAATTTAAACACGAATTTAACTCTATAATCTACCATTTTATGATTACTTTCCACATTAAATTTGTTTATTATGAGAAAAAAATACTTCTTTTTCATTTCTGTGACAGTTTTGTCAGCAAATTATGAAGTCATGTTCGCTATTGGATTTTTGTATGTTTTCTCTATTTAGGCATTTTCCAAGCTCATTAACGGCTTCTTCGTTTTTGAAAAGTGTATTCACAATTTTTGTTCTGTGACTTTCCGAGAACTTCACTAACATTTCTTCTAACTTCACTTCCCTTCCCTATTCCACACTAGAAACTACGATATATACATACATACACACACATACATATATATGTTTGTGTGTGTGTCTCTTTCTCTCTCTCTCTCTCTCTCTCTCTATATATATATATATATATATATATATATATATATAAATGACAATAGAAAAACTGTAGTTACTACTGACGCGTTTCTTCCAATGTGGACTTTCTCAAAGCAAAAATACGAAATGAATTTAATTAAAGTAACTAATAGTAACAAAAATCAGAATGTTCTTAGCAACTGGAGGAATGTAGAGAACGCTATTTTTATATTGGTAACTGAAAATAACGTCAGTTATTGTCACGTGTGGAGAATATTGTCATCATAGCTGTGTTGGCGGATTCAACCATTTTCAATATCGTAAAATCAAAAGAAAATGGTTATTTATACTGACTGCCGTAGAACAATGGACTGAATTGTTCTGATGAATAAAAAACCCGAAATTCTTATAAGAGTAACACTAGCCAAAAGGTAATGACGCTTACTAATTGAAAAAAGTTATTTACTGAGCGTAAATTTGTCTGACCCAAAGATGAATTTAGCCAGTGAAACAATGTTTGACGACCTGTACGGTACGGTCGGAAGGTGCTGGTTTGCAATATATTCTAAGACGCTTACTTTAGCGCAAAACAGCAGTACACACAGTTAGCATCGACCAACCACCATAGAAATATCCTAGCCGTACGAACTTGATAACGTTCACCACATAGGTAAAGCTCTATAAACAGTTGGAAACTTTTGAAAAATTCGCGTAAAAAATATCACTACGATAAGGAAAGTATTGGATTAATATCAACATCAATAGATTTTTTTTATAGACAAAGAGTAAAACTAATTAAACATTTAAGTAGGTATAGTGGTGTCCTCCCTCTAAGAGTCTATGTTGAACTCTTCCGCCTACTATAAGTTTAGTAGGAGAGAAGGTTCGGTGAACTGGGAACTGTGAATAGATTGAGCGCTAGTTTATTCGATACGCGCTCTCTACTCATGTAATATTCTTCTGGTGTTTTTACTGTTTAATATACGATATATCTGCAATCCAGGCTTTTGTAATTACTTAACCATTTACACCATGGTCGCAAATCATGAAATCAAAGCAGAGGTACAAACTTAGAACGCTTGAGACAATATGTTCGTTAAAGTAGCTTTCAAATGGGAAGAGTTTGTTAGTGAACTTTGAAAGTCCGAAATTAACAGCATAAAGTATTTTTTTCTTTTCGTTTCTTTCATTTGGTTCTGTCTATATTTAGGACATTTTTTTTTTAATTTCTCACAGTATTTACATTGTTTGGACTGTTGTCCTTATCTTTGTTGCTATATTCACCACGTTTCAGCCGTTGTACGCTCCAGACTTCTTCATGTGAATTGAATTTCGAACTGAATCTTTTATTTCGCCCCACGTGGTAGATTGTTCTAGTTTAACGTGGCACGCCTCTTCCGGATGACTCAGTTATTTCCCTTTAACACAACTCTCCAAATTTATGTTATTGAAGTCTTTGGGTTAAGTCACTGGATCCAACTAGCGCTCTTATCCACCGGGCCATGAGGACGTCAGTGTATGAATGTTTGGGACTTATAAAATTAATGTCACTGTACCATTTTTTTACCAGAGCTTATATTACATTTTTTGCTGTTGTTATTGTTTTTTTTCACTAGCATCTCATTATTAATGGCTCCCATATTTATTTCTATTCTTGGCCGGCTTAGGAGTCTTTGTTTGCCGTGCATATGTGCTGATTCCTTAAGTTTTTTGTTTGTTTGTTTTTATTTTCCAGTGATGTTCTCTATCTATTATTTCAACCTCATCCCACAGGGGGATTTTTTCTTCATTTATAACTGGTTGTTTAAGTTCAATTAAAATAAATAGCAAAATGGTAAAAGGAAAATTGTGGAGACAAAGACCTAACAGTATTTTCAATTTTCTCACGATAGTTCTTAATTTGGATTTTAATGTTTCCTGTTGGGAACATCTTTTCTTTCCTTTAATTTCCTAAGACTTCCTACAGAACTTCTATATAAATCTCTAAGTAACTTTCAGTTCTTTATGCGTCATATTCTGTTTTCTGTAAACGTTTTTGTCAATGTCTTGCTTCAGTGTAAAGATTAACATCCTAGATTAGACAAAAGCGTAATAACTACAAAAACTCCTCCCAGAAAGAAAGGAATAACAATGGATTTAGCGATTTAATTTGTTAGCTGTTTTGTTTTCCAGCTTAATCTAAGGCAGGAAATATTTTTAGATCGCACAATTTTGTGTTGATAATATTGATTTATTGATAAAGTCTTACTAATTAACTCATAGCTGGAGGAAGCGTATTTGAGCTTAACGAAGCCGAATGGAATTAGAACACGGCTCTCCTATTTAGAATTTTAGGCTGTTACATATAAAACCACTACAGATCCAAATTTTCAGCACCTGGTATCCCTAAGCAGTCACTCATCTAGGTATTAACCATGCTTGACCTTGCTTAACTTCGCTGATTTTTCAAGAACCGGTATTACAACGCGATAGGGTAGTAATCCTACAATTAATTATGATTAGACACACTGAATGGTCTTCAGCATCAGAGGTTGTATATTTAAAGAATTTGTGATCTATAATTACATCGGAATAATCCAAGAGGCCTTCCAGAAACTAAGCAAGTGTTAGCTGTTATTTACTTAGAAACAAAGAAATGAGTATCTGACTATATCTCTGGCATGAGGTATTATGATTACTTGCATTATTTACATTATTGGGACTATCATCCTCATCACCATATTCACAACGTTTCGGCCGTTGTACGCTCCGGCCTTCTTCAGGTGATTGAAATTTCGAACCGATCACTTTATTTTCTCCACCGAGTTCCATGTGCCATGCCTCTTCCAGATGTCTCAATTATTTCCCTTTAACTGAATTCTCCAAGATTTTGGTCCATCACTGCTCTGGACTGGTATTGAACTCACATCTCTTTGGGTCTAGTCACTGGATCCACTGGGTCATATGTCCTTCAAGACATTTGTGTATGAATTTCTGGGATTTATAAAACTAATGTCTCACCACATTTTTCACCAGTGCTCATATTGCAATTTTTTCTGTTATTATTATTGCATTTTTTATCAGAGCTTATATTGCAATTTTGGTTGTTATCCATTGCTTTTTCTCTAGCACTACTTATTACTGGTTACCTTATTGTTTTCATTTCTATTCTTGGTCGGCTCAGGTGATTTTTGTGGCCTAAAATATATGCTGATTTCTTAAGAATATGGCAATGAAGCTGAGGATAACAGTACAAATAATGTAAATAATACATGTAAAGAAAAGAGTGCTGAAATGTTATGTCATATCTGTCAATCCTTCTATATTTGACAATCAGCATAGTTCTTGATATGACCAGTTCTTACCTCGGTATATATTTTGTTGATACAACTATTTACTCCTGTCTTAATTGTAAGTGTGATCGGTCCGACAATGTCAAATTGGCAGTTGATCTAAAAATGGCCTACAATTTGTTGTTAACTGGGGCAAGAATTTTTTAAAAATTTTAATGCCCAGAAAACAGAACTGCTGTCTTTTAATCATTTGAGAGATCCCTTTTTTTTACTTTCCATCTGCAAAGGATTTATTGCGCCATCTTGGGGTAAAGTTTTCCGTTTTCATGAAGTGGAAATATTATATTGAAACAAATGCTACATTTGCTGCTAGGAATACTAGTTTCACTGTGTCGTGATAAACATTTTTCTCACCAGAATCTATGTTACACGTTTATAAGTTTACCATTTTTGCCCATGTATTTATTATTAATCTCACATCTGGTCTGGTGCATTTATGTATTTAGAGATTCTTAATGAAATACAAAGAAGGTTCCGCAATGTTATTCCTGACCTGGAATCTCAGCTTCAGTCACTTTCCTACCGACGTAATGTAACTTACCTACTCATTTTCTATATCTATTTCCATGGTAATTGTTCCGATGAGCTTTCCTTTTTGATACCTACAGTACAAGGCAAAATAATGTTTCTTCAAGATAA